AGCAGACATTGACGGACAAAAATATCACCGTGAAGCAATCATAGTAAACTATGATTTTGAGCTGATTTAACTTGAGCCGTTTTGAAATATTAGCCATACTATGTTACAATAATAACTACATTTTAGTGACTTTCAGCTTGAGAAACTTTATTCAAACCGTCTGGCACTCTGAAATTTACACAGTCCATTTGGGAAAAGATATATAGATATAAAATTTCTTTAGAGGCTCTTAGATTTTGATAGCATGCACCAGAATTTACTCATTCAAGATATGCTTGAGCAGGAATAAAAATCATACTTTATTTTCGGTTTTATAGATAACCCCAGTGGCTGACGGAAAGGCTTTCCTCTAAATTTTCCAAATGACCTGAACATGCTCCGGGAGAGGGCCTTCGATTAAAAAAAATAAAAAAATAAAAACATTTTCAACGCACATCACGGCCTTTAATGCCGTAGTTTCCAAACCTTAACTGAAGAACTAACTGCTAGTGAAATCAGAAATCCACACACCTAAGCACGTTGATCCACGATGAACCAAACAACCACGTTTCAAGGGCAAAAAAATTAAGTGTCATGAAATATCTATTTCATTTTCTAATGAGATGAATTTAATCTAATAAATAACTATATAGTCTAAATCATTGCCATGACTCACGAACTGTGCGAAATGGCGAACGGCTAATGCAATAGTTCTGAATGCTTGGAGGAGTACTTCATTTGGTAAACAGTAAATATAATATGATATAGTGCAATAAATAAAATATGTTAGAATAAACGTATCACCTATCTGCAACATGTACTGCAAGATGTCGGATTCTAGCGTAACTTTTATGTCTCTTGCCTTATTTCCCTGTAAGAGGAAGCTCCCGCTTCTCCTATCGCTCTCTAGCTCCTGGTCTTCGGCTCGAGCAGGTTGCTCTTAGTTTCGGTGTTAAAGTAAACCTTAGCAGAAGACTTAGCTTTCATTCAATCCCACAACAGTGAGACTACCATGCCATCGCACAGTGAAAACTCAACAAAATATAATAATATAGCTATGTCAGCTCTCCTAATTGCCTGTTTTTAACCACCTGGCCAACTTGCCTTATTGGACTAAAATTTGCACAACAAGCTGAAGGTCTCGAACCCATAACTCACTGCTCCAGTCTTGGGCATTTCAAGCCTTTGAAGACTATATTAATGTCAAGGCTATCAAACAAAAAAAATATGATTATAAATTAAAATATATTGATTAAAGTATCTTTATCCCATTCAGAATTACAAAGAAATAACCAAACTAATTGCTCACTAAAATGTTCATGCCTTGTTTGCATCTTGTAAGGGGAGGTTTTGATGTCATCTTTGAGGACTCTACGCATTGAAGTCTGACTGACTCCTGCTTCTGCAGCCAATTTTGCAGCTGAGCGACGAGGGTTTCTCCTCAACTTCTCCCTCGTGTTTTTGATCAATTTTTTGTTTGGACACTTCGTTTCCTTCCTTGACCAGGTCGATTGCATGATTCACCAGTTTCCTTGAATTTTTTACCACCTTCCACACAGTTTCACGACGAATTTGGAGCTTTTTGCAATGACTGAATTACTCTCGCCCTTTTTATGAAGGGTTACAATTGCATTTCTATCTACTGCCATAAGTAAAAGTAAATTTAGACACCTTAGACTTCTGCAATATGAAATATATGAATTAATAGATGATATTTAGCTTCACTATAAAAGAAAAGTCTCCTAGAAACCAATTTATTTTATACAGTAAACATCTGTTGCCATAAATATAGCATACCCTGTATAATATAAATGATACACCTCAGTCCTGTCTGGAACAAATATTATATCCTGAAATTTGTTGTCCCGTTCACTAATCAGTAACAAACATCAAAGTCATTTGAATGAGTGATAGTGAGTGAGTGGACGAGTGAGTGATAGCGGGTAAGTGAGTAAATTGAGTGATAGTGAATGAATTACAACGAGTAAAGTATGTGAGTAAAGTGAGTGATAATTGTGCTGCAACACCCACGTTGTCGAACTGCTTGTCCGTAAGGCCGGTGCCCAAGAAAGCGTCGAGCTTCGTGAGCTGCTGGCGGGTGTCTGCCTTGAGCTCCTCGAACGTCATCATGAAGAAGTTGGGGTGGTGGCGTCGGGACCACGCCTCCCTCAGGTGCTGCCCGTACGGGCTGTACAACACTGAAAAAAAGTAAAAATACCGCAATTGCAGGGTACTATTTCCTTCACAACACTGGGATACACTCTCTTAATAACACTGAAATCGCGACGATTTTTCTAAAACACAGTGTAATCAGGATTAAAAATAATCCTACAACTGTCACTGAAAGAACATTGAAAAATACTACGATTGTCGTGTCTTATTATATTTATAACCCTGCAGCGGCACCAAAATATAAATGAATCTCACGCAAGTCCTCCACGTAAAGGTCAACAAATTCATCCTGAGTGCCGAAGCGTCGAGCTTCGTGAGCTGCTGGCGGGTGTCTGCCTTGAGCTCCTCGTACGTCATCATGAAGAAGTTGGGGTGGTGGCGTCGGGACCACGCCTCCCTCAGGTGCTGCCCGTACGGGCTGTACAACACTGAAAAAAAGTAAAAATACCGTAATTGCAGTGTACTATTTCCTTCACAACACTGGGATACACTCTCTTAATAACACTGAAATCGCGACGATCTTCCTAAAACACAGTGTAATCAGGATTAGAAATAATTCTACAACTGTCACTGAAAGAACATTGAAAAATACTACGATTGTCGTGTCCTATTATATTTACAACCCTGCAGCGGCACCAAAATATAAATGAATCTCACGCAAGTCCTCCACGTAGAGGTCAACAAATTCATCCTGAGTGCCGATGAAGTTGGCCATTTTGTGTAGCTTGTAGTGGTGCTGAGCGGACAGTACGTTGTCCTTGGGATTACGTGACACGTAAACAACCTGTGGGGTCAATGGGAAGAGTAAGTCAGGCGTTATAATTTAATGCCTACCATCTCAATAGATAAATCAGGTTTAACAAGTTGATGAGTGGCTGCCTGTATAACAGTCTAAAGGCGATTCATGGAATGAAATCGTTGCAATTTTTAGAGCGTCCACACGGTGCCGACTTACCTGAGTAGTTTGCTCAGTTTTACGCGATCTCGCCATGGAGACATCTTGGTCAAATTTAAGGCCGGACTTGCGGCCGGTCTCTCTCCCCAATTTCGGTCAGCATGGAATATCTCTCAAAGTAATGAACGTAGCTCGATAAAACTTGGTACACGTATTTATTAGGACTTAACGGTGATGTTTAGCGGCATTAGGACTTAACGATTAGAACTGCGCAGATAAATCGTTGTGTAAAACTGAGCGTGTGGACCGGGCTTAAAGACCGGTCCACACGCTCATTTTTTCACAACGATTTGTAAGCTCAGTTCCAATCGTTGCAGTTAAAACGTTGCGTGTGGACGAAAAAACTGCGCAGTTTTGGAGCCGGCGGGAAGACTACACAGTTGCAGCGAGATCTGAGCTCCAGAGCATAGATTTCGATGAACTGCGCAGACAAGTCGGAACGTGTAGACGGTAGCACCGTCTTCCGATCCAATTTGTGCTCAGTCTCAATGATTCTGGCGGACCTTCGGTAATGTTCTCGGGAATTTATTGCTCTATACGAAAGTTTTTTCTTGCATTTGGCGAGTAAAATTCAAGGACTATAGGAACAGGGATAAAAAAGTGGAGACATACGAGGGCTTAGTAGAAAAATTCAAAGAAATCGATGAAAGCGCAAACAGAGAAACAGCTGTAAAATGAGTTGAGGAGCATTTACCGTAAATAATTGGGAATAAATAAAAAAATCGATTCCATCAGGACCTGGAGAAGAAGACATCTACAAGCCATCTCTCTTGTATTTTGATTCCTCGCATTCCCTAAATGATCCAATCTCATTTTTAACGAGGCACAATGCCAAAATTGATCAAAATACTGCCTTCTCCATGGCACGACTCGGACAAATTTACGGCCGGACTCGCGGCCGGTCTCCCCAAATTCGGTGAGCATGGAATATCTCCCAAAGTAATTAAGGTAGCTCGATAAAACTTGGTACACGTATTCATTAGGACCTAACGGTGACGATTAGCACGTGACAATTTTTTTCGATTTTGCTTTCGTTTGCGAGTTATACGGCTTTATCTAATCTAAAAAATTGTCACGAGCTAAACATCGCCGTTGGAGGTTAGGTTTCCATATTCAAAGTTTCGTAAAAGCTGTAGAGTAGTTAAGAAGAAATGTCATGCTCACTGCAAATTTCGGCACGTATCGTCATATAACTCACGAATGAAGGTGAAATTCTAAAAATGTTCACGAGCCAAACATCACCGTTAAGTCCTAATGAATACGTATACCAAGTTTTATTGAGCTACGTTCATTACTTTGGGACTTTCATTGAGCTACGTTCAATTCAATTACTTTCATTGAGTTACGTTCATTTCATGCTCACCGAATTTGGGGAGACAGACCGCAAGTCCGGCCATAAATTTGCCCGAGACGTCTCCATGGCGAGACGGCGCAAAACTGAGCAAACTACTTTGATAAGTCGGCACGGTGTGGAGTGGACGCTCCAAACGACTTCATTCCGACTTAAAAACTGATGGCCAAATGGGTCATCATTACCCATTTTGGCTCGGCAAAAATGATGTATCAGTACAACATGCAAAAAGCGTATCACTATTTAGACAATATGACCCCCGCAATTTTCTGATTTCACCTTGCATGTGTCCAGTAGATTCTTGGGCAGCATGGAAAAGGGCAGATGAGTCTTGATAGTGCGAGGTTTCCAGTGAGCTTCAGCCACCTGAAAAATATTTAAAATTCAAGGTCTGTCATTCAAAAGTACAATAAATCCTCATTTATTTGTAATAAAATATGCACGCAAGTAATCTATGATTTTAATTGAGTGTTCAACATGTAACAAAAGGGTAACTAAGGCAACTTTTCTGAAACTAAAAAAAAAACATTTCAAATTTGTATGTTTTCACGAAAATAGTTTTTCCTTCCTTGTAAGATTTACGAAATGACCTCTCAAAGTGCTGTAAATGCTGTTTCTGCATTTCGTTAGAGAAGTAATATTATATTAAACGTAGGAATAATCCGTAATTACTTTACCATACCTTGAACATAGGTGAACTTCCCAGTAGGTGGAAGAGATTCCAGACGTATTTTTGGATGCCCTTCGTGAAGGCGACCATTGCAGCAAAGTCGACTGTCATTTTAGGCCCGGAAAGCATGTCGATCCTGTGCACCCGGCGAATAAACAAGCCAAAGAACCATGACGAAATTGAGCGAAAAATGAGTAGATCATATTGCCCAAAGAAGGACTCACTTCCTTACCCACAGCGAGCGGGGGCGCAGCCGTAGGCCACAAATTTTACTCTTAAATAAGCCATGGAGCCAAAGCCTAGCTTCATCATGCATAAACTTTACTCAGCTTCAGAACTAGAAGCCGCAGACTACGCTTGAACTCCGTAATCCAGACAAGCAACACACTGCCGAAATATAATAGCGCCGTAGGTCTTCAGCCAATGTTTAAGCATGCTCACTCATAAGCAGGCAGTTCCCCGTCCGGCTATACCTACTCTGGCCTAACCTCTTCTGGCCTAACCTATTCGCGCTGTTCCGGCTCACAACCTTCTTTCAGCCAATGACAGGCTCTATCAGCACACTTGGACCGCCTTTCTAACTTCTTGCAGCCAATGAGGTTAGGTTAGGTCCGCTCAGGTTTGTTTTGGGTGGAGAAAGGTTGCAGCTTGTATAGGTTAGGCCTGAAGAGGTTAGGCCAGAGGAGGTTTGGCCAGATGCAGTATGGCCATGCTTACCTTTGACAAGATAATTTTGTGGCTGTGGGCATCCGGCGCTATGGCTTTGAGCACTTGACTTCATAGGCCGTTATGCACTGTAGCGTTCTTACCTATGGAAAGGAATATGAACTAAGTGTGAAGTTGGCACAGCTGGCCTCCGGCATGCGCCCCAGCGAGCGGACGTTGCACTGATACGCATTTTTGCTGGGCTAAATTGGGTCAAGATCGCCTACACAAAGGTATAAGTGCATCACTATTTGGACAATGTTCCTTTTATTTCTTTGAGCTAATTTTGCCGCTTCCACTAGAGAAATGTGAAAAGAAAGGAGAATGATATTGCAATCATAACTAACTAGACCATGATGGCATTAAACTCCATGTATATAAATAGTATGCGATTCTTTACAAATCCTATGTCATTTTCAGTAACAGTTTCTACTAAACACATTTACGACACGAATTAGGTTTCTTCTTTTATCCAATATAGGGAAAGGTTCTATCCAGTGGTGGGCACAGTCCGCTAATCCTCGGACGGTCTAACCGCTAATTAGAGAAGAATACGTTTTTCTTGGCCGGTGTGCCGCACTGATGGCTGAATACGTCAACATATGTACGTCAACCAGTCACGTTTTGTGTAACCTATCTCGTCTTTTGTTACACAAGTCGTGATTGGTTGAGTGTGTTGACGTAGCCAGCCATCAGTGTGGCACACCAGCTAAAGAAAAAGTTAGCTTTGCTAATTAGCGGTTGGCGGATTAGCAGACTGTGCCCACACTGGTTCTATCATATTAAATTTTACAAAGTCATTGCACGTTTAAAAGCTATTATCTACGGAATATAACAATAACAAAATTGAAACCGTTTCTGGTGCATTTATTGTTGGTAAAATACAAAAATTAAATGATAATTTGTTAGCATTTACAGCTATAAGTAGAAAGTACACGACATGAATGTGATTTACTGTTAGTAGAACCCAAAAATAGTTTCTTAGCATTTCCATTTATAGGTAGGAAGTACATGACCTGAATGTGATTTATTGTTAGTAGATCCCCATGATAGTTTCTTAGCATTTCCGGCTATAAGAAGGAAGTTTACAGCCTGAATGCTAGTCACAAATTAGCCCCACTGGGCCACTAATCTCACTCAAGGTAGGGGCTGCGTACGAAGAGTGCGTCGTCGGCGTCTGGGTTGTCAAGGTCTGGGTTGTTCCTCATGTTCCAGACGATCTCCTGGCTCCATGTGGTACCACATTTAGGGTATGTCATCACCACTACATCGTCTGGTCGAAACTGCAATACGTCAGTTCTTTCAGTGAAGTTATTCTAAATCGAACAGCATTTATTTTCTGCGCATAGTAAACTACAAACAATTACAGTTAAACGATGGGTCATTTGTATCGCGAAAGCAACGATGAGAGATTCCACATCAGAGGAAGATTAAAATTCCATGTTCAAAATTTGTGCAAGAAACTAATTCTTATTCCAATACATCGAGGATTAATATGAAATTACACCATTTCTAAAAATCTTTATGGTTGGCGCAAGCGAATCTCACAAACCTGGAAGTTGTAGACCATCTCGTGAATTTTAAGAAATCTACGAAGTACAACCCAGTTGTGGGGCCTCAGCAGCACCACGTCCACGCACGGCCCCGTTAGGAGCTTGTCGATCTTCTTTTTAGTGGCGCAGTCGACCTCATGCACCGTGTGGCCGCTGGCTATCTTAGTGAAAACCTCCGATATATTGTTTCCCATGTCAACTGTTTCATGGAACAGAGAAAATCTGAACGTATTAGATGGACTTTATCATATTACCGTGATAATTAACAAATATCCTTCCATGCATACCCCTGCTGATCAAAGTTATACATTCATGCCAAAGTGACTGAGCCCGAATAAAGCAACCAATATGTACATTCTCTGTAGAATTCAATTAAGAACTACTGCACAAAGGTCAGCCATCCTACATAATATTCATTTTATTTCAGTTGGCCACGCAAATGCACGAAAGAAAATTATTTTCGAAGTTCTGCAGAAAATGGTATTCGAGGGGATACATTGTTGTTCCCGTATCTATCTGGGTGCGTGGCTGTAATAAAGAAAGACATTTTATTGAATAAATACGCCTGGAAACGTGCAACAAATTATTGATTATTGTACAGTCACCAGGAGCTGAGCTTCCCTAAAAGTTTCAGAGCGCTAGCTAGCGGGAAAGTTGGTGAAATATCGATTGCAAGATTTGATCATCACAAACAGACAGACAAACAGACAGACAGACAGACGGACACGAAAGCGAGCTAAGAAAAACGTGGTAATAACTCGTCCCTAGTAAGTTCCGGTCCGCAATAAACTTACATCCGTAATGTCGGGATAACCGCTATTTTGTAGCATAAATGACTAAATCCTTACACCCGTCTTCTGATAAAAGTTGAGAGACGTGCGGCTGCAGCATACAAGTCAACCTTCACATGACCGCAATTAGCTGACCTAAATAAGAAATAAACTATAATCCATTGCCATTTCTTCTTATTTATATGTCGACAATTTATGTCGACAAAGAAGAGTTGAAATCTTGTCGGGGCACGTAAAGGCTGTCGATGGGGCACCTATATTATTCGAATGGGAATATTAAATTATTGCAAAAACAGAAGCAAAAGAGCAAATTATGAAATTAAAGTCTTTTATTTTGCGTAAATTGGATAGTTTACACTTTAAAAATTTTAACTTTTACAATTTAAAAAGAATATAAAAAAGTATGTTTCCTTCGAATTTTATCTTGGATCGAAATGGAAATTTAATGAAAAATGTGGTTTGGAAATGTGGCGAGAAGGAATTGGAATAACGGAATTTTTATTTTCAATTTTTTTTAGAGATTATCTCTTTAGAGCAACGCCAAACTGCAAGTTAATGAACTCTGCCATGAATTCCACGAACTCTTCCATGAATTCCACAAACGCTGTCATGAATTTCACAAACGCTGCCATGAATTCTACGAATTCTGCCATGAATTCTACGAATTCTGCCATGAATTCTACGAGCTCTGCCATGAATTCAACGAACTTCGCCATGAATTCGACGAACTCTGCCATGGATTCCACGAACTCTCCTATGAATTCCACGATCTCTGCCATGAATTCTACGAACTCTGACATGAATACTACGAACTCTGCCATGAATTCTACGAGCTCTGCCATGAATTCAACGAACTTCGCCATGAATTCGACGAACTCTGCCATGGATTCCACGAACTCTGCCATGGATTCCACGAACTCTGCCATGAATTCCACGAATTCTCCATGAATTCAACGAACTCTGACATGAATTCCACGAACTCTCCCATGAATTCAACGAACTCTGCCATGAATTCCACGAACTCTGCATGAATTCATCGAACTCCCTCCTATCAGATCATGCCGCGGTACACCGACACACAGGCCTGTATGAGAGCATTGGTAACTCGTCGGTAGCCGACGCACGAATGACTGTTAACGTCAATTTGTTTATCAGCACATGAAGGATAACGCGAAGCACAAGTGGATATCTATTCGTTCTATTAAACTTTTCTCAGTCCCAGAAGGATTACTAGAATTTGAAACAAGAACCAACACCAGGGGCCACAGCTATAAACTAAGAAAACTGCGGTGCAACATATCAACGCGACAACATTTCTTCTCGCTTTGAGTCACCGACATGTGTAACAGCCTCCCTGAAGATATTGTTGACGCTCAGAGTATGAACGCGTTCAAGAACAGACTAGACAAGGCCATGCAGGAGCATATGTTTAGACTTAAAATGCCTCGTATCCTACGGAACAACTGAAATCTAGAAGCGATTTTAAATCTACCGTCAGTTGAAAAGATTTGATCAAAAGGCCAGTCTAGCCAAGAAAAGTTCAAGAATCGGCGACAGGCCTATACATGCCTATTCTTCAATGCCGAAGATACTATACTATACTATACTATGTGTACAATAGATTCTTGGGCAGCATGGAAAAGGGCAGATGAGTCTTGATAGCGCGAGGTTTCCAGTTGGCTCCAGCCACCTGAAAAATATTTAAAATTCGTCTGTCATTCAAAAGTACAAGGCGTATATTCTCATTTATTTGTAATAAATATACACGCCAATAATCTTTGATTTTAATATTGATTGTTGGTAAAACACCAAAATATAAACACCATAATAACTGTTTGTAGGTAAAACACCAAAACCCAGAGCTAGTTTTTTTAGCCTTTCCAGCAATAAGTATAAACTACACGCCCTGAATGTGATTTATGATTAGTAGAACCCAAATATAGTTTCTTAACATTTCCAGCTTTAAGTAAGAAGTATTCAGCCCGAATGCTCAGTGCTCTGTGTCTGGTCGGTATTTTAGAAATGGTAGCATAGTGCCTAGTGGCAATGCAGAGAGGTTTTTAGAGTCTTTCTAAAGTTCATTTTTTCCACGTTTTTACCACGTTTTTCTTAGATTCACTTAATGTCTGTCATCAAAAATTCGAACCTTAATTTAGATCACTTCTGAAGATCCTAGAAACTTTAAATTTGGCACGCATGCTTATGCTGCCTAACAATTCAAGATTTGATAATCAGAAGTAATAATTTGAATTTTTTTAAAAATATTTAATTAAAAAAACCCTAAAAAAACACGATTGGGAATCGAGGAGAGTGTCTGCAGAGTCCCTACCACTGAGACCGAGCCATCGTACAACTAATTTGCTAATTTTAACAACTAATTAGCATCTAGAAAGCGCTTTATAGCGAGTTAAATTTGTTTCCGTGACATTGAGCGATCTAAACCATTGACTTACTTCCAGAAAACTACGTTAAATAGAAAAATTATATTCCAGAAAACTACGTACACTGTTAGAAAAATTACCGTTAACGGTATTACCGGCGTTTCAGTGGCCGGTCGGCACGTGAAAAGAAACACCGTGTCGCCGTTTTTATTCTAATTTAGCACTAGAAATCCGTAAAACATCTGATAAAAATGGCGAAACAGTTTATTTTCACGGGGCGACCGGCCACTAGAACGCCAGTGGGACCATTTTTCACAGTTTTTTTTAACAGTGTAGGTATGGTTCCCTTTTGAGATTTTTTTACGGGACCGATTTCCGGCAGATCCTGCCGCTAAAGGTTATCATATGTTCATACGTCGTGGTAGATCTACTGTTTCGAAGTTATCGTAAATTACTGGGCAGATATTCCAGCACAATTTTATATGAATGAAAAAGCAAATTGTTTGGCGTAAGAAAAGTTACATTAATTCGATTCTTATGATACGTAGAAGAAATATTATTATTATGTATAGTTCCACGCCTGATTTAGATGACACTGATTTTTTTAGATGACACCACGCCTGATTTTTAGATGACACCACGCCTGATTTAGTTTTTAGCAAGACCGGCAAGTGATGGGACATCAGCCTAAGCTCTCGTAATCTTCAACTTAAATAACATCGAATAAGATCCCAAATTCCCATTTCAGTCCAATCGTTTTCAATCCACCCTTTAATTAAATATTGTCTTGAGAGAATTTCAATGTAATCATGCACAATAGATTATCGTCTATCGAATGAATACACTTTATTTCTCAATTGTATCGACATGCAGTTATAACTTTAGATAATTATTCATTAATTGCAGCCTCTTAATAACACGTAATAGTAACTTAACAAATCATTTTCACTAGGGTAACACTCTTAACATATCTTAACGTCGTTGGGTAAGAATAATTTCTATTTCTTGGTATTTCCCGCCTTCTGTTGTGCCAACGCTGTTTTCGTCGACCAGAAAATATGCTCTCTAATATTAGACTTTGTCCGTCTATCCGTCCGTCCGTCCGTCTGTCCATCCGTCCGTCTGTCTGTCAGTCCGTGACTTCATGTTTTCGTCGACTAGAAAATACGCTCTCTAATATTAGATTTTGTCCGTCTATCCGTCCGTCTGTCCGTCTGTCCGTCCGTGGTATTTCCCGCCTTCTGATGTGCCAACGCTGGGTCGGCTTTAATTACGATTATAGCACCAATGCTGAGTTGGACTTTGAATATGATAATAGTGCCAACGCTTGGTTGGGCTTTAATCACGATTATAGCACCAATGCTGAATTGGACTTTGAATATGATTATAGTGCCAACGCTTGGTTGGACTTTGATTACATTTTAGTGTCAACGCTGGGTTGGGCTTTGATTACGATTTTAGTGCCAACGCTGGGTTGGTTGGTCTTTGATTACGATTGGGTTGGTCTTTGATCACGCCAACGCTGGGTTGGGCTTTGATAACGATTTTAGTGCCAACGCTGGGTTGGGCTTTGATTACGATTTTAGTGCCAACGCTAGGATGGTCTTTGATTACGATTTTAGTGCCAACGCTAGGATGGTCTTTGATTACGATTGGGTTGGTCTTTGATTACGCCAACGCTGGATTGGGCTTTGATAACGATTTTAGTGCCAACGCTGGGTTGGGCTTTGATTACGATTATAGCGCCAACGCTGGACTGGACTTGAAATACTATTCCGGTGCATGGAATCGTGAGATTAGAGATTAATTTTAGAGGAGAATATTCTAATATTATCTAATATGTTTCAAATCAAAAGAGACGCAATAAAACACAGTGGGCCCTAGGGCCGTGTAGAGGATGCGGTAGGTAGAGGGAAAAGTAGTCGTCCTCAAAACTTATCTCTACAGTACGACTGAGTAAAAAGTGAGTCGCTGGCGGGCGTCTGCCTTGAGATCCTCGAATGTCGTCACGAAAAAATTGGGGTGGC